CCCACAGCATATCAAAGTTAAAGCATACAGAACAAAGAACGAGTATTGAAAGTCTTAAGAGAAAAAACACAAGTCACATACGAAGGAAAACCTACTAGAATAACAGCTGATGTCTCAATGGAAACTCTGAAAGTCAGAAGAGGCTGGAACAATGCATTTCAAGTCTGAAAAGACTGCAACACTCAGCCTAAACTAATGTACCCAGCAAAAACTATAAGCTCTAATTGAAGGAGAAAGAAAAACTTTTTTACAATATAAACAGCCTAAAAATGTATATCCCACAAACCAAGCCTAAAGGAAATACAAGGAGGCAACATTTCAAGCTGGAGAGAGGAATGAGTACAGCTAAGAGACGGTGGAAAGAATTGAAGCCATAATTACTAGACATAAAGAACACCAAAACTCAACAACATGACTGCAATCAGTCATATTTCAACAATAACATTAATTATTAACAGCTTCAACTCTCCAATAAAAAAAACAGGATAGCTGTTGCCTACAAGAAACTTATCTTCCTTTAAAGATAGGCACTGCCTTAGTGATGGACAAGAGTACTTCAATCAAATGAGATCAAGAAACAAGCAAGTGTCACTATTTTAATGTCTGACAAAACAAACTTATAAACAAATCAGGAGAGAAAAGGGGTACACTTCATTCTAATCAGGGGACCAAGAAGACATTATTATTCTAAATATATATTCATCAATATCACCAGTGCCAAATTTCATAAAAATTTACTACTGGAATTAAAGACAGAGTAACATTAACCCAATAATAGTAGGTGATTTCAGGACCATACTTCCTCCAACACACAGGTTCATGCAAGAGAAGCAGAAAAGCATCAGAATTAAGTGACATCATACATCAGATGGGCTGAATACATATCAACAGGTTAGTTCACCCAAATACCAAAGCATCCTATTGAAGCTTCACTAAAATAGACCCCACCCTGAGACACAAATAAATCTTTACACATTCAGAAAGATTCAAATAACTCATGAGTATCCTACTTGACCATAAAGCAGTTAAGACTTAAAACTGACAGCAAACAAATCTCTAGTAAAACATAAATTTATCTGAACTGAACAATTTATTACTTAATGGTGAATGGGTCAAAGAAGAAATCACAAAAGAAATAAAATTCCTGAACTAAATGAAAATGAAAACACAACACAATAAAAACCTCTGGGACATATTGAAAGAAGTCATATGAGAGAAATTTATAATGTACAAATAAATGACATTAACGAATGCAACTCAAACAACTGAAAAAAAAAAAGAACAAACCAAATTCAGACCAAATAGTAATAAAAATCAGAGCAGAAATTAGTGAAATTAGTGAAACAGAAACAAAGAAAACAATATAATGAACAACAGACCTAAGACCAGATTCCTTGAGAAGATAAACAGGACTAACAGACCTTTGGACCCCTAAACAAAGAATGAAAGAGGATTCAAACTAACAAACTGGAAACAAATGGAAAATTTCACAACAAGCATTAAATTTTTTTAAGGGAATACTTTTAAAAATCTGTACTCTATTAATTTGGAAGACCTAAAAGAAATGGACAACGTTCTAGATTTAGCCAAACCACCAAAATTAAACCAACAAGAGAGGAATAGCCCAAACTGACAAACAACCAATGAAGAGACTGAAATAGCAATGGAAGCCCAACCAAAAAAGGCCATGTTAGATGGATTCAAAGCAGAATTCCATCAAAGATCTTCAGCCCATCCTCCTCAAACTATAAAAAAAGGAACAGAAAGAAGAGACCAAGCCCCACAGGAGTATACTTTGATGAGAATCACTCAGCTGCAGCCACTAAGAGCACCACCTGCGCACACTCACTACTTCTCCTTTTAAAGGGCCCTGCCCACCTCCCATCTGCCCCCAATCTCTCTGTTCCTTTCTCTTTCTGCCTGTCATGCCCCCCTTTTCTCTTCTACTGTTCCTGTCTCCAGACGCTGGTCTCCCCCTTTCCCTCCCCTCTTTTCCCCATTCCCTTTCTCCTAATTAAAAAAAGCCTCTACATGAGCTGTCACATGGCATCTTTCTCTTTCACACAGCTTTTAAAATCACAACAGTCATTGCTTAAACAGGTAAATGCCCCATAATAGCAGTGTCTTAAAATTAGCCAACATCCTAGTAAGTATTTCAGTGCCTTCTTCAGCTACCTGTCAGACTAATTCCTAAGTCAACCATGCTTGCCTTCCCCAGAGCTAACCTCATGGCAACTCTGTACTCCCTGCAGACTCAAGAGAGGAACGAGTGCTATTTTTGATACACATCTTTGAAAAACACGTGCTTGATATAATTCATGGAAGGATAATTTTGTTTCTGAAACTACGTGGTGCTTTTAACATCTCATCAATAACCAAAATATCCTCAAGTGAAGTATTCCTCAACTGATTGGAAAGCTGATTTCACTTAAGTATTTTTAAATCTTGGGATGGACAATCAAGATTCTAAGATTTTCCTGAATCATATGTACATTTCAAAAATTGCTCAGTGAAGTATTTATTCGGAAGAAGTGAAATTATTGAAAACTGTCACAACTAATGCAATAGCAGCTTACTTACAACCAAAGTTGAAAGAAACTTGTCCAGTATTATACTCTCATATTACAAAAGAATATAAAAACAATTGCAACCATTTTGCTGAATTTCAGTCATGTCATACACACTATTTCTTACAATTTTCTTTATGTATATTCTATCAGACAATCTGTCTGGGCCTTGGTAAATACTGTTCTTCCTATGTAGTAGTATAGCCATATTTTGTATTCAAAGGTAAGTTATATCTTTTCTTTGTTCCTTTTTTTCCTTTTGAGACAAGGTCTCAAACATGCTATGTAGCTGAGCATGGCCTTCATCTCCTGACTCTGTCTCCCAAATACTAGTAAGATTAAAGAAATATGCCGCCATACCCAACAAGTTATGTCTGATTCCTCTCAGATTCCACTTACATATCAGTTCAACTCAAGTCTTTCTCGATCATCGGCTCCATAGAGCTGTTCAGAGGAGGAGAGCAACCATATCAAGCCTCTTGAGTGTGAGTACCATGCATTTAGAATGGTGACCAGGGAGGATAGCACTAACCTAATGATTGCTGTGTGCTAGGCCTCCAAGGAAGGAGAACAGAGATGGACCACTGTCTTTGAGGAAGACAAGGAATCAGGGTAGTTAGAGGGAGCATTCTGACTGTGATCCAGGGGTTTCAGTTAGTTGGTAGGGGCTCTTCAGAGTCCCAGCAGGGTGTAAGTGTAGCTCCTGCACTGACTAAGTGCAGAGGAGAAGTATGACACTGGACTGGAAGTTTCCAGACAGTGCTAGTACATTTGTGCTGTCAGATGGGCACTTCCACATGGGTTTTGAGACTATGTGCTGAGAACACATCACTCACTAGATTGCTTATGTACTATTTACTGGGTACAGAACAAGCATACTTTGTTTAGCTTTATCCTTATAATCTTATGAGGTACAAAATATTACACCTGTAGTACTGGTTGTGCTTATGAGGCTACTACGGCTGATGGGTGCTGAAAAATTTTGCAAATAATGCTCTTTCTGTTAGCTTTAAATTTTGTATAGTTTACTTTCAGTGATTGTTCACCAAGTATACACAGTTGCTCAAAGTTTTGGGCCTGAAAGATTGTAAGAGCCAGTATAGATAGAGTACACCAAGGAAACAAGGGCTTCTGAACACAACAGGAGTCGATGCACATATGAACTCGCAGAGACCAGCAGCATGGGCAGGGTCTTCACAGGCCTAAGCTAGATGGGGTTCCACTCCTGAGAGAGGAAATGGACACAGGCCCCCATTCCTAGTCTAGATGCTATCTCTAATTGATAACTGCTCACAAAAGAATAGTTAGTTTTCTCCAATAGAGTCTCACTGGGTACACAAAGCAGACTTAAGCGCAGGCCATATCCATCAGTAGATGATAAACACAAAATGAACTCAATTTTATCTTTGAGTTTTTTTTTAAATCTGGCATCTTCCTGTCCCTTCCTCCTCCCTTACCCCTTTATCCCCCCCCCCCCGCCTCCCCTGCCCCCATTTCCTACTTTACCTTACCTTACAAACCTTTTGCTTATATTTAGCGTTTTATTTGGTTTGTTTATGTGAATGTGTGTGTCTCAACTTCTATATCTTCTATATGTGTTTCTTATGCTTTTTTCTTAGGCTTTTTTTTTTTTGCTTTTTTTGTTTTATTCTGGTTTGCTTTATATACTTTATCTTATTACCACTGTTATTTTAGATCCCTATTTGTATTCTAATAAGAGAGAGAAAAAGAATGTGGATTTGGGTGGGTGGGGATATGGGGAGAATCTGGAGGAGTTGGAGTAGGAGTAATCAGAATATATTGTATTAAAAGTCTGTTAAAAAACTAAAAGGTTTGGCCTAGTTCTAGTTTCATTTCTGTTGCTGTGAGAAAGTCCCTTAGCAAAAGGGAACTTAGGTAAGCAAAGGGTTTACTTGGCTTACAATTCCAGCTGACAGCCCATCATTAAGGGGAAGTTATGGCAGAAACTCAAGCCACTAGTAACATTCCATCAGTCAAGAGCAGAGAGAAACACACATATTCATGCTGTCCATTTCCTTAGCCCAGCTGTCCCCACTCTTTACACAGGTCAAGATCCTCTACTTAGGAAATGGCACAGTCCAGTGGGCTGTGTCGTCCTAATCAATCCCTTACAGGATGTGCCCATAGGCCAACTTGACCTAGATAATTCCTCAAATGAGAGCCTCTTTTCAGATGATTCTAGATTGTGTGAGTTGACATTTTAACAGTTAGAAACACTAACATAATTTGTGACATAGGTAACCACAATTAATGTCTAAGTCATGTGATGAGTTCATGGATTACACAAGGAACCATGAGCTGAGCCTATCAATTCCTCCTTGGAAAGACTGTACCAGATTAATTGCTGTCAGTCACAAGTTGCTGTGGTAAAGACATTTTACAAGGGTCTGTCATGCAATTTACTCTCCATACCTTCCAGATGTATTCCTTAATATAGCAAGAGCATCTGGGTAGCCATCCATGTTGTAGTCTCCAATATGAAGGGTGAGTGGAATTGGTATTGAAGTTGGTTGTTCTTCATGCAAAAATGGCACAAAGCCCCAGAGTGTACCCTTATTGCTGAAATCCTGCAGCACAGGAACCCACTAAGGATAAAGAGAATAAGATTAATCATAATCACTTTAGAAAAATAGTCATTTGAAAAAGGAATGATCTATTAAAAATGTTGAAGACAGTCATCATTTTATTTCATCTCCACACAATGATAGGCTATTATAATTTTCCTTGATGAATGTGTAAGACACTGGTGAACTAGTCTTCATAGGTTTTGTCATGAACATCTTTGCGGCAACAGCACACAGAGCCACAGGTCCCTCAGAGCATGCATTCGGCCTTGGGAATGAACAAGCTGCGTTTTCACCTGACAGGCACTGCACAGACAAGGAGGATGAGCTATGACACAAAACAGTTGCAAGTAAGCAAAGGTTTCAGTGACTCTTCATATTTCTATGACGACAAAGAAAAGAACAGAAAAGAACAGACTGCTTTTAAGGGAGCTTCTTCCTTTCTCTTCTGATTGCACACTTCTTCTCTCCTCGGTAAATTACTACACCACTAGAATATGCAGAGTGGAAATCATGGCATTACAGACGTGCCCATGTTCCCTGAAGAGTCACTGTGCTTAGCACTGAACCATGTCTTGAACAGCTGACTTCAAATGCCAGGGGGTCAAACATTCCGACACATGTATTTTTCCCCCTTCACAAGCAGCTGATTAATTATATTGCTGCAAACTAAACTATATTAAAAACATCTTTAAAAAAGGAAGGTCAGCTGGGCAGTGGTCATGCACACCTGTAATCCCAGCACTCAGGAGGCAAAGGCAGGTGGATCTCTGTGAGTTTGAGGTCAGCCTGGTCTACAGAGTGAGCTCTAGGACAGCCAGGGCTGTTACACAGAGAAACCTTCTCTTGGAAAAAAACTCAACCAACCAACCAACAATCAAGGAAGGTCTAGCAAAAAAGAGTGCCTCCAGAATTTTATAGCTTTTCCTAAGAAAGTGCAATTTGTTATATGCCATAAGGAGAGGCAGGACCCTTAAAAATAAAGACATTGAATAAATTCATTTAAAGAAAAAGTATTACTTTATATTTTGTGAACTTTAGAAAACATTTAAATAATTTCACCTGATTTTGAAAAAAAAACTGCTACATTTTGCAAAAAGCTAGAAATTTCACAGAATTTTCAGTTGTTACAAATTTCTGAAGCAGGGTCCAGTGTGGGGGTACACACCTTTAATCCCAATCTTCAGGATGCAGAGGCAAGTGGATCTCCATGAGTTCAAGGTCACCCTGTTCTATATAGTGAGTTTCAGGACAGCCACAGTTACACAGGGAGACCCTGTTTCAAACAAACAAACAAACAAAACAAACAAACAAACAAACAAGAAATCCCCCAAACTAACAAATAAACAACAACAACAAAACCTAACAATAAATCAATTTCTGAAGCAGTCAGTAATTTATGAATGAGGGGTAAATGAATGGTATATAAAGTGTTTCTGATAAACTGTATTAAAAATTTTTCATTCAATGTAACATCTATAACACTCATCAAAGAACTGTGACATTTGTCTTTGTAGAGATAGGTAACTATGTAATTTCCTTCCTTCCTTCCTTCCTTCCTTCCTTCCTTCCTTCCTTCCTTCTTTCCTTCCTGTTTTCAAGACAGGGTTTCTCTGCATAGCCCTGGCTGTCCTGGAGCTCACTCTGTAGACCAGGCTGGCCTTGAACTCAGAGATCTGCCTGGCTGCCTTCCAAATGCTGGGATTAAAGGTGTGTGCCAACACGTTCAGCTAACTAAATAATTTTCAAGTATTCTTATTTTTATACCTATGAACCAATAATGGGAAGTTTCTTGAGCTAGTTTTTTTTAAATGATTCACAACTATCCAAATATAGTCAAAGATTATAAAATAATTCAGTTATTTTTAAAATGCTGAATGTATAAAGATTTGTTTTATTAAGTTTCTGAATATAAAATGTGGTGTTTCCTACTCAAAAGGGCTATAAAAGTCAGCATGATATCCTATTATTTATTAATTCCCCAAGAAAATAAATCTGGTTAACTCTAAAAGTGTCATGACCTATTATTTCCATATTAATCCTCCAATGTGACTCTCATGATTCTAAATTATTAAGCAACAGGCAAAAAGTCAGATTGAGAAATGGAATGGATCTGCACATGGAAACAAAAGCAGGATTAGCTCTGGGAACAAAATTATCTTCTTTGTAAGTTTTTATTATAATGTGCTTTCTATATTGCTGGCATCTAAAATGCTACATTTAATTTAACTGTAAGATCTAGAATGGGATTTTTTCACTAAAAATCACATAACAGCATTTTTATACCTCAATGAAAGAAAAGATTTAAATGTATTTACTTAGGTAAAAAGGAAGAATTCTATAATGAGAATTTGGATTTTATTCTGTCCTGCTTCTTTAGACATCTTTTCTAAAGCACATGACACTGTTCATAGCATCCCCAAAGCTGACATACCTTCCCTGTTCCAGATCTCATTAAGTATATGGCACTTTTCTGACAGTCTTTGTCTTCACAGCCTGGTAGCAAGTGATCCATGTGTCCATCTCCATCTGTCAAAAAGAGTCAGGAGTCCATTAACAGTTCAGAATAACATCTTCATGTGTGATAGTTAAAGTTCCAATTTGTTCCATCATCCAGACAAAACCAACAACTTAACATAAGACTTTATAATGAAGGTGAATCAATTAAGAAACAACACTCTGTTCCTTGTCACTTATTATCTAGACTGTATTTTGCTTTATTTTATTTCTGAGTCTTGTTTTAAATTGCAAACTTCTTTGTGGTTAGATGTTATTATATGTAACTACTGAAATTAAGCTTGATTTAAAGTCATTTTAAAACTTATTTAGAATTATTATTATTATTATTATTATTATTTTGTTTTGGGGATTGAACTCAGGTAATTACACATATTAGGTAAGTGCTTGTACCCCTGAGCTACATGGTCAGGCCCAAATAATTTTTTAAAAGGTAGTTTTTGATTGTTAAATAATTATATTAACAGAGAATACATGTATGCACACAATAACATTATTAGACAGCCAATTTAAAATATGGGGCACAAGTATGTGTCTCTAAGTGCCTTTTAGCCAGTATGAACTTCAACTCACTCTGATCCTTGGCTTCTCAAAACACCCATGCATTTTCACCAATAAAGATACAAATGAAGGGAAATCACTCACTGCTGTGTCCAACCCCCATCACACTAGATAATGTGACTGTGGCCCAAAACATAGTTGCCAACTAATTAAAACATTTGGAGACATTTTGAAAAATTGAATTTGACTGTATAGTTCTTGAGTGGTAACTTTATAGATAATATCAGGCTGCCTGGCACAATTTCTTTACATCTGACTAGATTTTTGGCAAGAGTGCTACTATTTTGCACATACCTTCTGAGACAGATACATCAAAGGACCCCAAATCACCTCTTCTGATGCTCCTTCATGTATGAAGACCCCACTGTCTGAGGTTTAGGGAGCTTGAGGACCTAGAGCTTAACCCTTCTGTTACTGGAGCAGTAATTCAACCTTTAAATTCGGGGCATCCTTTGAGCTCCTTTAACAAACACTAACTTACTCGCTATGGTTACTCTGTCATTTCACTTGGGCCCAATGTAGCGTTTACAGATGGGTGGACATCAAAGGATTATCAATACAGATATAGCCATCATTGTATAGAGATATATGAAGAGAAGTGTATGACAAAAACAAGCTTAAAGCACCTCAATAAGTTATTTGAAAAAACAAAATAAAACAGAAGTTAGACTGCATGGGACGAAGATCTAGGCAGTGGAGTCTGACCTTAATAAAAAGTATGTTTTTGAAGATCACTTCCAGTATTTTTAAAACCATTCAAGGGGTTGTAAGTATTAGAAAGTACTTTCTCCCTGTTCTCTGTTCTTTTCTACAGGGGCAGCTATTGTGGGAGTGTCTTGTGTATCCTTTTATACATATAGCATGTGCTTTGCAGCATATTCTATACAGTTTAGCTACCTTGAAAATTTGATATATGATATCTATTTTTAAAATGTTTAAAATTTTAAAAATTATGTGTAGGTGTCTCTGTGTGTGTATGTGCATGTAAATGCAGGCACCCATGGAGGCCAGAAGAGGGTGTGAGATCATCCTGGGGCTACAGGCATTTGTAATTGTCTGATGTAGGTGCTGGGAACTGAACTCAGGCCCACTGTAAGAGCAGTATATACTCTAAACTGCTGTGCCATTTCTCCAGTCCCAATTTACTTTGAGAGAGCCTCACATTGTTAAATTTATATCTGGCTCATGCATAGCATCCTGTTAAACTGTATGGAAAATAAATCAATATATTCTGTTCTTACCTGATATCTACCCCTGAGCTGTGGCAAGTCCAAATAGTCTAACTACAAGGAACCCAGTATAATATTATTCTTATTTAGTGTGTAAATGACATAAGTGAAAATCTGCTTAAATCATTACATGATAGTAATTTTTTGTCTAGTTTTTATAAAGGGATTCTTTTTATATTTAAAAGTCAGAATACTACACTCTTACTAATAGGTCATTCTGACAGAAAATAAACAGAAATAACTGAATTAAAGACCAAATGGACTTAACAGATACTTATAGAGCATTCCATTCAAATACTGTAAAATACACACTATAGAACTGTCTCTAAAATATTAGGAATCAAGTCTTAACAAATATAAGAATACTGAAACAATTGGTTGTACTCTAATTACAATGGGATTAAGACTGTAAATCAATCGAAAGAGAAATCTAAAAATGTACACAGACTCCTGAAGATAACAATGTGCAACTGAATGGAGGATCATTGCAAAAAAATCAAGAGGGAAATACATTATTAGAAACAAATGAAAGTGCAACATACTAAAACCCATGGTACAATGACCACATTTTTAGTAGAGAAGTTTATAGTATTAAGTACCTACATTAGAAATAAAATCAGTTTTTAAAGCAGTTAATGGTGCATGTTAAGACCTCAGAAAAAGAACAACCAAACCCCCAATCAGTTCACAGAAAGAAATCATTAAGACCAGGACAAAAATTCATTAAACGAAAAACAAATAAACAAAACAAAACCCCATAGAAAAATCAACACAATAGTTGCTTCTTTGAGAAACCCTAAGCCAAGCAACCAAAAGAAAGAAAAGACAAATTAATAAAATTAATGGATGAAAAGGGAACCACTGAGGCATATACCAATGAAATATGGAAAATCATTAGGTCTTATTTTAAATAAATCATTAAATTGGAAAAAGTCTCAAAAAAACTGATAAATTGATGCATATGGCCTACCAAAATTAAACCAAGATGAAATAATTCAATGAAATGAAGCAATGATTAAAAATCTCTCACCTAAAAAACTTCAGGCCCAGATGGATTCACTGGTAAATTTTATTAGACCTACAGAGAATACTAATGCTTCTTAAATTATTTTATAAAACAGGAAAGGGTGAAGTATATTGCCCTCATACCAAAACCAGACACAGATGCAACAGAAAGAGAAAATTACAAAGCAATTTCTTCAGTGAATACATATGCAAATATTCTAAACAAAATATGTGTAAATCAAAGTCAAGAACACACCCAGAAGATCAGTATTCATCTTTCTAATAAAGTTGGCTCTATTATAGAGACACAAGAATCATTCAACACATAAATCAATACATATTATAAATTGGAGTCAAGGACAGAAATATCAAGGTCATCTTGATACACTCAGAAAAGACTCTGACAAATTCTAACACCTCTTCTTGGTAAAAGTGCTGAAGAAAATGTGAATGGAAGGAACATACCTCAGTGTATATCTATATCTAACATTATATTAAAGTTGGAAAAATTCAAAACATTTCCAACCAAGTCAGGAACAAAGTAAGACTTTCCACTTTCTCCACTAATAATACTGTATACTAGCTAGGGCAAGAAGATGTGAGAAATAAAGGGGACATACTAGGGAAGGAGGAAGTCACAGAACCCCTATTTGCAGATAAGATGATTCTATAAGCAAGAGACCCTGAAGACTTTAGGAGAAAACTCTTAAAAGTTGCTAAGCAGTTCGGCAACATGTCAGGAAAATTAACATACAACAGACAAACAAACAAACAAATATAATAGTTGTTCTAATTTGATTTTCTTCCTGATGAAATACTGACCAAAAACAACTTGGGGGAAAAAAGGGCTTACTTCAGCTTACAGGTAACAGTCTATCAGCTAGTGAAGTCAGGGCAAGAGCTTAGGCTATAACTAAAGGAGAAGTCATGAACACTGCTTGCTGGCCCATACTCAGCCAGCTTTCTCATACTCAAGTTTCACTATGGCTATTCCCCAGGCTCAGCACAAATGTTTAAGAGTGCCTTTGCATAGTGGCACCCTGAAAGGCCAGAACATTTAATTGTTGGTTTTTATTTACATTTTTGTTTGTTTTAACACTTGATATTCAAGAAATCTCTACCAAACATTAGATATATAATGAAACAGAGACCAGTGACTTCCAAGAACACTGTGTGTAAAATACTTCAGGAAATTACCGTGTAAACAGACTACTACAAATAAACAATCAAAAAGGCAGCAGACCCTGAAGAAGATGAGAACTGGTTTCCACCATTACTAGACGGTAACACTGAACTGTCTACTTTGTAAATAAGAATGGCAGCAACAAACCCACAGGACACACAGAGAACAAGGGAAACAGTCTTGCCAATGAAGCAAGATTAGATTAGAGGACACCCAGGTGGAAGCCTTGCCACCAAATTTACCCAATTAAAAATGTAAGAACATGACCTCAAATGAGTTCAAAAATAAAGGAACATGAAATGGCCACTGTTAAGAAAATGACATATGTACAAGATGGTATCGATAAAGAGAGTGTAAAACAAAAGCAAGCAGATGTTCTGGAGCTGATGAAACAAGAAGTTCAATAGAGATGAGGAGGCAGGACAAACGTCTGCTACACCTGAAGACACCAATTGTCATGCAGTCAGGGGAGCAGACCCAAAAGGCCCCGTGAGACACTAGGAAGTTAAACAGTACTGTGAATGAAGAATGCTTAATAAACTACTCATAGTCATCAGAATCCCTAGGGGCAGAAGATGGCCACAGAACACAGCAAAACACAGTCTGAGAAGACAGCTCTGTCGGTAAGGGTTTGCTGTGAACGCATGAGGACTAGAGTTCGATCCCCAGTACCAATGTAAAAGCAGGGTACGGTGGCACAGAACACTTGACTGACATATGACAGAAGTAACCATAGATGCTTCACGTGTAGACTCTTAAAGAGGAAAAACAGGATTACCGTGAAGCCAAAAAAAAAAAAAAATCTTGAGAAATACAAGCTATGAGAAGACAAAGAGAAATTTTGTGTATTTATTACTTAATATTTTTGGTTGTGAGCCTAGCCTTTAATGGCTGAGCCATCTGTCCATCCCTTATTACTTAATATTTAGGAAAGAGTGTATCTAGATTTAGATCCTGGTCCCAAATGAGGAACAAAAACTTAGAAGTGAGCCATAGCTAAAAATCTGACTGAATCAAAAGGAAATTAAGGAATT